CTCCCCCCCACCCCCCACCTTTAGCAGCCTCTGTTCGCTTGGGCAGGTCCAGTGTGTCGAAGTTCCGGTCCATGTTACCATCCTTCTTCCCTAGAACACAAGGGTGGTGGGAAGTGAGGTACGCCCGTAGGGGCAGGAGTGTGTCAGGAGGGTGGGCAAAGCCCTCCCCTGCCCGGACACCGACGTTCAGGTCAAGAGGGAGTGGCAGTGTTCTGAGTTCCAGCAGGCAGGTTGGCCACAGGGAGGTCGATGGTGGCAGCCAGGCCTGGGCACATCCTGTCCTTGCAGAGCCCCCAGGACTCATCTCGCGCCAGGAGCTGGGAGCTGTGCCACAGGCCCCCTGGAGGGCTCCCTTATGGCTGCCGGGCAGGAGCCTAGGCTGGATGCCAGCCAACGAGGTGTGTGCAGACAGGGCAGGCCGAGAGGGCCAGGGCTAAGCTGGGTCATAGCGAGGTGGGCAGAGTCCCACCCAGGAGAAAAGCTCCCCTGTCTGGGTACATGTGTCCAAGGTCTACTGCCCAGGACAGACCCCCTAAGTAACCCCACCTCACGCGTGTGCAGCCCCGGCTTGTACCCCCTCTTGACAGCAAGCTTGATGCCTTCCGGCCACTCTCCCCTCATCTTGAATAGGGGGTTCCCCCCTTTGCAAGGTGGCAGGGGCTGAGACATCCACCCTTGTGGGACGTCTGCACCGTCCGTCCGGGCAGCCACCACCCCATCCCCTAGGGAGAGACACCAGGGCCCCCAGGCTTGGCTCAGTGGCCCAGCCTGAGGGTACCCAAGGCAGCCCCCAACCTCTCCACCAGGCCAGAGCTCAAATGCTTGCTGTCGCCGTGTCCATGCAGTTGTCATGGAGACAGCTGCTGGGTGAGGGGGTGGGGGTGGGGCAGGGCCCCAGGCTGGAAGACTTCCCGGGAGCCCACCGCACCCCGCTGCCCTGTGGTTGTCATGGAAACGAGGGCCTGAGCCGCAGGGGCGGGGAGCCTCCCTGGTGCCCGCTGCAGCTGCCAGGCCTGGACGGCTGGACAGACAGGGACTCACCTTGATGGAACCACTCCTCTGGACGGCCGGGGGGAGCACAGGAGAGAGGAGATGAGCCTGAGGGGGTGCCCCCACCCCGATGCCCTCCTGGGGCCTAAGTGCCCACGGCACACCCCGGGTGGAGCGGGTTGGTTGTGGGCCCCCTCCCCGGTTACGTTCGGGGATTGCGCATCCCCCAGTGGGACACAGAAGGGGAGGCTGGGCTCAGGGGCAAGGGAGAGGGAATACAGGCTTCACCGCAGCTGCAGGGGTCGCAGGTCCCTGGAACCCACACCCCACAAGAGCCCACATCGAGGGGGTGCAGCCGCCTTCTGCGAACAGCCTGTTGGCGCTTTCCAACCCCGAAGCCCGCAGAAGCCTTCCTCAGGGTCAGAGCAACTCCACAGCAGGGGATGGTGGCCTGGCTGCGTCTGGGTCCTGCAGCCTGGCCCTTCGGCCCTGTGACCTCAGGTGGGACCCCGGCTCAGCTCCCTGTTTCTACTGGCCCACTGGGGGCTGACAGATGTCCCCCTGTAAATGCCTGTGGGGTGTAAAGTGCCTTCCACCCACAGCTGGGGGTCTAGTGTGGTACCCCAAGCCTCACCCACCCACCTTTGGCCTTCTTGCCCCCGAAGCAGCTGGCGTCATCCCGCCTCCGGCGCTGGGAACCCGCAGCACTGCCCAGGGGCCCGGGCTCGGCCTCCTGGTACCTGTCGGCCCCGGGCACCTCCTTGTGTACGTGGTAGGACAGGTTCCTCATGATGCACACGCAGTTCTCCACCGACTGCGGGAGAGGGGCTGCTGGGGCAGGCCTCCAGGGGGCGCCGGGGGGAGACAGGGAGGCCTAAGCTACGAAGGGGCTGTGGGAAGACGCCCCGGACATGAGCAGGGCCTCGCCAGCTTTACAGTGGGGCCAGATCCCCCATTCCCCTTGGTACCCCCAACAGCTCCGGCCCCATGGCTCCATCCTGCGCTGTCTGACCCTCGGGGGAGGCTGAGAGACGTCCCCACCCTGCCCCGCCCACCTTGTTATCTGTGTCCTTCCTGCCCACGGCCGACTGGAGGGCATGCAGAAGCGCGTCCACCAGCCCCTCGCACTCCCGCAGTCGCCGCCGGGCCTCCGCGCCATCTGAACTCACGTTCCTGGGTGACCGAGAGCAGGCACGGTGACCCCTGCCCCAGAGAGACTGCCCCAGTCCCACCTGTGCCCTGCAGCTGCCCCGCCCCATCAGGGTCACCAGGACAGGACAGGACCCTAGGGCCCGGAGCATGACAGACAAGGGCCTAAGTGGCCCCAGAGATGGGCCCTGGCCTAGCCTCTCCAAGAGGGGCATGGGCTTTCCTGGACTCAGCTGAATTGGAAAGGGACAGAGGTAGGGCCCAAAGAGGCCTGAACCGGCCACACCCCTAACCCTGCCACATGGCGGTTCTAGGTCCTGCCTTGCCCTGAGGTCACGACCCTGTGAGGCCGCTGGGGCCCATGCTGATGGACAGGCAGGACTGTGGGGACCAGGACCCTGCAGGGCCTCGGCAGGGCTTCCCAGTGGTGGCAGGGGAAGGGCAGGAAGCAAGGAGTCAAACAGGTTTCTGAGGCAGGTGAAGGTGATTGTCATGGTTCGCCCACCCTGGCTGTCATGGCGGGCGTGGCGGGGTGGCAGCTGGCCGCACTGGCACCTTGGGGTCCCACAAGACAGGTGGGAGACCTGTCTGGAGGGTGCCTTGGGAGGGACAGTCCACCGGGCCCCACTTCTCACCTACAGGACTTGTGTGGTGGCTGGAAAGCTCCTAAGACGTGGGTAGCCCGCCGAGACCATGAGGCCATGGCTCCCCAGGGGTGGGCCCTGGTGCGACAGGTGCAGGCCCCAGCTCCTCCCTCCTGCCTGGCCTAGCCTGGGCCCCGCCCACACCTCAAGCAGCCCGACGTGTTCTTGAAGACCGTCGTCCACTCGGCGTCCCGCGGCTTGGAGTCCTCGTTGGGCTCGCGCTCCCAGCCCGAGTGGGGCACGATGACCTCGTGGGTCAGCGTCTGCAGCCCGTGGTCGATGATGACCATCTTCAGGGGCTCATAGGACGACAGGTTCCAGAGCGTGCCTGTGGGTGCCGGCGACCAGCCGGGGCTGACCACACCGGGCACCGCCTCCCCGGCCCAGACCGCACTCAGGGCTTCCCGCCCTTCTTGGAACCAGGGCAGCACAGGAGGGAATGTTCCGGGGACCCACCCTAGCCTGGGCAAAACACACAGGGGGCTGGGACGGAGCCCCAAAGGGTCGGGGTGCAGAGGGGGCCTTGGCGGGTGCTGTCTCTTCCCAGCGTATTGTCCATGAAGCCACACGGTGCTAGGGACTGACACTCCCGAAGCCATGGTGTACACAGGTGGGTGTGGGCCCACCACCAATCAGGGAGTGAGAACCAGAGAGGTGGGTCCCAGGAAACTGACGTGAGCACAGGGGGCAGGCGTGGAGGGTCCTGCCTGAGAGGCCCAGCGTCAGCGACCCGATCGGGCACCTGTCACATCACTGGGGCTGGATGGCTGCCGCCCAGGGCAAGCAGCTGCAGCAGCTGGGACTCAGGTGCGTTTCCTGGCAGTGGGGCCCCAGGTGGCTCCACCCCTCCCACGCGGTCCGGTCCCTCTTGGAGGACAGGCGCAGCAGGGTCACACTCACCGGTGACAAGCTCACGGACCTCGTTGTCCCTGGCGGCTCGCAGCAGGCGCACCAGGGCGGGCACGCCGCCACAGTCCCGGATGGCGGCCTTGTTGTCGGTGTCGCG